TTCATTAAAATCTTGTCGACATTTATCACAATGATAAAGACCAGATAATAATTTATTTACTTTTCGAAAACAATCATTATTTGGACAACTCTAAAAGATCTCTTATTTAAAAGTCTAACAACAAAAACAAAATACAACAAACCGTATAAACAACTCGATCATTAGCTATGTGCATACATATAGCTTTGAGCATTACATAATCAGGACGACCTTGTCGACCAAGCTGTTCATTTTCAATTTGTCCAATTGTTTTCCATGGATCTAAAATAAAACATTTGAGTTATATGAATTTTGGTCCGCATCCAAAAGTCATATAAGACTTCCGGATGAAGTTCGAACTCTTCTCATCAAAGTTTCAGAAAACCTGATATTTTATGAAAACTCAGTACACTCTGTAGTGCTTAGCAGTCAGTGATGATCCTATTAGAGGCGATGTCGTATTTTGAGATAGTTATTACTTGAATTCATTACTTGATAACGTTTGTAGACTGCTGAGTACTTTAACGTCTATCAAGTCTTCGAGAGTCGAGCAGTTATCCAGGAGGATGTAGATAGTCTCTTCGTTGATACTCACATGCATATGAGTATGTAACGGTTCCAACAAATGTCCGAAACCCCAACTATGTATAGCGATAAGGCTTTTTTATGATCTCCTAAGTCGTTCTATTAAAATTGAACTTAATTCAAGATCTAACAACCTTCTCTGGTTAGACGATTTGGTGTTGTTGTTGCTGTCGTTATCCGATTATTCGTTAAACGACCACCAGCATTATACCATATTCGAAGATGTTTTGCTTGTGCAATATCTGGATTGATTTTCATTATCATATTTTTATGACCAGATAAACTATATTCTATAGAAAAAAAAAAAATAATGAATAATATTGTAATTATGATTTTTTTTTCTATTTACTATTATTAAAAATAGCTACTCGAATACGACGAAATGCAACAACAGCCTTATTTTCTGCTAATTCTTCATCGAAATCATTTGCCTAAGAGACAAAAAAAGAAAACAAAATTTAAATTAAATTTTTATCCAAATAATTTTACTTGTTCATCCCATAAAGTTATTGAAATACTTGTATCTTCATCCATGATTGTTATTTCTCGACGAACTGAATCTTTATTTGATGTTCGATTCGTAAATGGAATTATATCAGAACATGTATCAACAATACCAATAACATCTTTACATGAGAAATAAAAAAGTATATAAATCAATCAATCACAAACTTATTTTACCAATAAATGCTTCACTTGATTGTTTTGAAACATCACGAAGTGGAATAAATTCATAACGAACATCGGGTATACTTGTATTTATTGTTGTATCATCAACTAATCGAACAATAGAACCTGGTGTTAATGTTAATTCATAATTATGACGAAGATTATTCCAACGTTTATCAGCTGTTTTGACTCGAACACCCAAAATATCATAAACCTATGTTTTTTTTTATGAGAAAGCAAAAATACATTTATTTATTGAATTTTTTTTTACTTTATCAACTTCAATCATTGGATGAAATCGAGTACATTCATCACGAAAAGCAACTATACGAATTTCACCACTGGCATCAACAAAATCAAAATCACATACAGGATGTGATCTTATCGGACTTTTTGCAAAACATCGTGCACGAATTTTCCACCTTAAATAAAACAATTTATTAGATAAATATTACAGGTCGATTGACATAATCAATGATTGTCACATGTACATTGAACTCGAGTATATCCTAAGGAGACTATTCTTGAGGCATGATTTTATGAGTTTTTTGTATGATATTTAATCACATATATTTCAAAAATTATTTTTATTCAAAATAATTTACTCGCAGTCTCATTCAGAATTGGATGAAAAATCTCCTTTTACTGTTCTTTTGACAAAAGAAATGTTTGAAATATACATAAATCTATTCAGTTTCTGATATTGATTTAGAGTATCATATTCGTTTGTTGACACAAATTTTCGACTAACAATACTAGTCTGATCGATCTTTCAATCAGCCGACAGATAGTACAAACAAGTTTATATATCTAATTCTATCAGGATTCACTTTCGAACATCTTGCGTGAGAGTTTGACATAATAAAAATTATTTTCCTGTACGTGACTGACCTCCCTCCTTTTTTTCTTAACTATATTTTAATGAAGATATGTACTCGTATATAAGTTGAATTACATCATTCATTAACACTTACATTCCATTTAAATATGGTGTTATCATTTCAATTGGACAAATATTTGTATTTGATCTATTATTATTATTATTTACAGTAGGCATTGTTGATTGTGGTAATACAGTTAAATTAAGTATAACTAAAAACGATCTAATATAGACTAGATTATATTGATTTGTAAGATATTAGTATTAAAGCATACTTTCCAGTACTTGTTAAATTATGTGCAACTTTTTCTAGTTTAACAATTGAATTCTCGCGCAATTGTTCGTCTTTAATTAGTTTATTTAACTCTGGTGCCAATATACAAGCTAAAGAAAATGAGAGTTTATCTTTTCTATGAGACAAAAAAAAAGACTCAATGATTAACCATTAAATGTATCTTGACCATCAGTTATCGATAAACGATAACGTTCAACATTGGTCGCTGTAGAAGATTCACATTGTCGAATATTCTGAATAATTAAACATCAAGAAAAAAAAAAAGGAAATTTATTTATTTAGTTTGTTTTTTTTCGATTGAATAAATCTTCATACAAGAACTTTAACAGTTGCTGATTGATTTGTTGTTCCATTTTGATAACGCTAAAAATTCCTAAGAATTATTTTAATCAATGATATAAATGATTGAACATACAGTAATAGCTCCTTTTGTTAAACTTATTGATGCCATTATATCGAAGGCGCGAATCAAAGAATATATTTTGTACTTTCATCATGATTGTGTAATAACAGAGGGCGCTATTAAAGATTATTTAAGTAATATTTAAGTATAAATATGATAGAAATTTTGTAAATTATTCGTTTAAATACAAAAATTTCTTTTCTTTTAATAAATTTATTCTTAAAACATTTTATAATATGATTGGTTAATACGTTTATGTTTATTTATATTTATATGCTTTTTATCGGGCAATTTTTAGTTTTGTTCTTTTGTTAAAATTGCTTTTTCTCTAGAAATTACTTAAGAATATGTCAGTTACTTCTCGTACACGTACAAATTTGATATGTATCATAAAGCAAACATTGGATATTCGTCATCAACAAGATGCATTTTCTAAATCGATAATAAAATTCATCGGCTGCAACTATACTTACAAATGACCAATGTACAAGATAATCTTAAAATATGGACTAGTAAATAATTTATTCATTCTGATGAATGTAAATTTATTAGTTTTGTTCAATAATTAATTTTAAAAAATTCATTATTTAAGAATGTGGGTGTAAGTGTGACTTCGTTATCAATGTTTGTGTAGGTGTTGCTTTTTGTTTTTTTGAATTATAGCATTCTTTACACTCAATTCAGCACCCACGTCCACACCTGTATGCACGCATTATTAAATTACTGAGCAAACATAATAGTTATCAAACACTAAATTTTTTTACTAAAAGTTTGGTTTTATATGCTGATGATTCGTATATAATACTGAGCATTCAATTTATTCTTATTAAAAACTATATGCAATGCCTTATGAACAATGTCGAATGTAAGAATTCTTGTTCCAGTGGCGTTCTTTTTTTTTCGGTAAATAGATTTTCGTTGACCATGGACTTCGAACCAGTTTCAATACATAGCTTACTAAGATATGCGTTAAAGTACTCTGTTATATGAATAGTAGTCTTAAATTTTAAGTGCTAAGGTATAATTTAGTGTATTGATCGGAAGTAATCATTTCACACAAAATTTTGTTATTTATTTATTCATTATCAATTTTCAGATAGGAACATTAGTGCTAATGAGCATAGTTAGTGAGTCTTGTATTAGTAATGAACCATAAAACAAAAAAAAAACAGAACTGAATCTTTTTCTGATTCATTAAGTATATAAGAATCAGTATTGATAAGCAGCTAATATATAGACAGTATAATACGTAGTTTAGTATCTTCTGATAAATAATGTCGTATGATGTATGGTATACATATGACCTTGAATTAAATACGGCATATAGCAAAAACATAACAAAATATCTAAGATCACATATGGGAAGAATAAATTTTTCAAAAAAGACAGTAAAATGAGACACGATATACGATGCAATCTACAAAGTATATTATTAGTTTTTTTTTTAATTATATGGTAGAAAAAGAATTCTTAAACGGCACTTGAAGACTTACGATGTTTTTCTTTTATCGTATATTACACCTGGAAAATTACAGCTAGATCAAAATTCAAGTTTGTTAATAAAGAAATCTGATGACAGTTAGGAGGACATGAATATAATAAATTGCACAGATATATATATATTTATTTTTTTTTTAAAGAATATATTTGTATAAGTGTGACAAAAATATGTTTGTTCGATTTGAAATACTAGAAAAGTTATATAGTTGTTCAAAATTCAAATCTTTTACTCTTCGTATAATCAAACCAAAAAGAAAAAAATATTTCAAACTATTACCATTTTGAATTAGTAAAAAGACAAATAATCGAATTAATTCATTGCAGATTTTCATTTTATATTCAATAATAAATTTTATTTAGATGTTCCAGAATGTGTTCATTCATTATCAATTGATTATTATTCACTTAAAATTTAATTTTATCACAAGAACATATGCATTCAGAATATGCAGATTCAAATCATTTACGATTACGTATGAATTAGGTATTTAAAGATGAAATGCATTTACTATTGCATAGTAATTGATTTAATGATAAACTACAAATTTTTCTTTCCTGTTTATACTAAATTACCTTAATTTGTCGTGTAAGATATTTTGAATGATACATGAAACAAAAAATACAATTGTATATTTTTGTTTTTTTTTCTTTCTATTCATGTTTAGAAATTTTTGTAAAATATTTTTTAGATGACTGCTCATAATATACTTGATCTTCCTAATGAAATTCTTGAAATTATAGTATTTAATATCATTGGTAGACCATGGAAAGATGATGTACGTGGTTTTCTTTCATTTACATCAACTTGTCGACGATTTTATCAATGGTCTCATGATGAAAAATATTGGCAAAAACTAGCCTTCAACGTGATCCAACAACTACAAAATTAACAGAAGATATAACATGGTTAGATTATTGTAAACAAAGTAATTCATATTTGAAGAAGAAAATTTTTTTTTTATCTATTTATTTTTCAATTTAGTTTATCTTATGCGTTTAATATCATCTGATGAATTAGAAGAAAAAATAAGTCGATTTGATGAAAATTATTTTTGTACAATTGAAAAAATTCTTCTTTGGCCTGATAAAATACGTATATATATTGATGAACGTGGAGATAATTCACTTGGTTAGTTGTTTAATAAAAACAAATATATATCGTAAATATTTCATTTTTAAAATATACAGGTGGTATTCAACATCCTAGACATTCAACAATAGCATATCTTGAAGAAAATTCTACTAATTTTTATGGACATAATACTACTACAGTTTGTGATAGTAACTTTTCTATTGCAGATGAAAAAGCACAATATTTAGGTAAAGATAAATTTTTATATTTTCTTAATTATTGATTTATTTTTTTTTAATAGGTTATTTAGATTTTGTAATAAATATTTCATTTGATTGTATTGGAAAAGTGCTTTATTTTCAATATGGCCATAGTGGTTATAGTATGACGAAACTTTTTCATATAAAACAGTCATTTATCGATAAATATAATCTTCTTCCTTTGATGAGAAAATGTCAAAACATTGGATAATAGATATACTTTATTTTGGTGAATAATATTTACTTTTTATATGATTTGATGTTAACAGAAAAGAAAGGATACTTGAGGTATTTTCTTTTTCAATATTTTGATTCGTTCCTTTCGTTTTTCTTTCGTGTCCTACTATACCGAAGTTTTTTTTCGTTTTTCTCTGTTTTTTGTTTTTTTTCTTATCCATTATACCTCCTATCATGGTCACCTGGTGATACGAAAAGACGAGTATTTTACCTTTCTATCTTTTCTTTTTTCTTATTTACGTACGCATTTAAGTGAGTGCAAAATAGTCGAATCATTTCGTTTTTTTTCCTAATGCATTCACAAAGATGATGTGTGGAAGCGTTTGTTTGCTCAAATCGTCAGCTGTTTCAAGGGCATGAATATAGGTATGTGTGCACACATATAATCTATTTCTTTTTTCTCAATATCAATCCTCATTTTTTTTATCTATTAAAAAGCATTCGTTATAATGCTTTTTAATATTGAATCATCTTAACTTTTCTATAAAAACGATAAAAAATAATATTCAATGAAATATTTATAAATGTATGCCATGAATATGACACCGATTTTCATAATTACGATTATTTTATTTTTCAGATTATGCTTAACTCTATACAGAAAACCTTTTCGAGCAATCGTTCTTCCGTTTTGTGGTCTGCCAAGAGTCGCACGAAAACACGCTCTCTAAATCTTCTTTCCCGTCAAATTTTTTCATCAAACAATATTGAAAATCATAAACAATTCTTTCCTCTTCAAAATACATGTCCAATTGGACCATTAACAATTATCATGAATGAAAATCAATAACATTTATTCAACTAGCAAAATTATATTCGATAATAATTAAATAAATATATTACACAAAAAAACAAAAACCAAGCAAAGTTTATACAAAAAGTTTTTTTTTTCTTCTTCTTCTATTTTATTTTTTATTATTCCATAAATATGGCGACCAATGATGATCTTGATGATTTCTTTAAAAAAAAAGATCGAAAGGGTAAACATAAAAAACAAGCCGGTTTATTAACTAATAATCAAGAATTACTTAAACAATTAGGTAAATATGAACGATAGTTTTTTTTTTATTACCAAGTTCTTTTTTTGTTTTTCTAGAAATTGTTACATCTGCAACATCAGCATTTAAAGAAAATATGGATTTTGATGATGATGATGAACCACAAATCAATGATGAATCAATTTTAGGAACAGGTGTTACTGAAGAAGCTCGTAAACATCCAATAAAACATAATAAAATAAAAAATCCTGATAATAATAAATCTATTAATGAACCAGATACAATTATTTCTAATGAAGGACAACAACCACCACAACAACAACAACAACAATCACAACAACAACAAGATGAATGGGAAGATTTTGAAGGTTCAAATTCTAAATATGAACAATTACGTTTAAAATTTTCACGTATAAATAATGATAATGATTATGATGATGAATTTTATGATGATGAAAATAATCCAAATAATAATGATAATAATAATGATATGAGTGGTGATCGTCAACAACAAAAAGATAAACCTGTTTGGAAAATAGATCAAATGAAACAAGAAAAAGAAATAAATATTCCTGTTGTTGAAGAGAAAACTGCAGAACAACCACCTCCACCAAAACCATCAACAACATCAACTGGTGCTTATCGACCACCAGCATTACGTGGTGGATCAACAGTTACTGTTGTTAGTGGTGTTAGTCAACGACCAACAAAAAAGAAAGAACCTAATTTAGCTTCAACTGATGAATTTCCAACACTTGGATCAACTGTTAATAAAAAATAATTATTAAACTTTATCCCTTTCGCCTATTAGTATTCCCCTAAACGTCTTTGGCATAATCTTTTTTTTTAGTTGCTTCTGTTTTTTTCTCTTTTCTTTTTTTTTTTTTTTTGGTTCGCTCTCTATCTCTTTCTCGCTCTTTGGTTCTATATTTTGTTTGTTTTTTTTTCGTTATAAAAAAAAAAGGAAAACTTTTGTCTCTGTTGTTCAGCTTAACATAAAGTTTATTGCGTCGTTTTCTTTTGAGCTTCAAGAATATTTTTATAAAGACGATCGCGTATTATATTTGCTTCTGTCCAACGAGCAAGCCAATCTTTTTTTCGACGATATAAATTAGATTGTTGATCATCTTGATGACTTTTAAATATGTCTTGATTATGAATTGTTTTTGAATGACTACTACGTTGTACAGGATAACCATGAGCAACAGTACATCGTAAATCATTACTTATTTTAGTATAATCAGGATTTGATGATGAAAAAGTTGTTTGAGGTCGACGATAAATTGGAATATTTTGTTTAATATTTACATATTCAAGGTCATTTTTATCACGTTCAACTTTATCTTTATCCAATAAAAGTTCTGCAGTTATTGTTGAACGAAAACGATGACGAATATTTTGAGGAACTTGATAACCATTTATCTCAGTGTAATAATCACCTTCATCAATTACTGGATGATTGTTACTAAGACTTGACATTATGCTTGTTTTAGTTAAGAAAATAAATGAATATTTTTGACAATTAAAAGAAATATTCAGCCATTCTTTTTGTTGTTTGTATTAGTATTACTATGGACAATTTTTACTCTTCATGAATTTCATCAATAGAGGGCGACAATTATCGGCTAAATGTTCTCTTTTTTTTCCGGAAGTAAAATATTTATCAATTAAGATGAAATAAATAAATGCTTTATGTTAGAATAGTTAATCTTAAAAACAAAAATCAACAATAATTTTATTGACATATGTTAATAGATAAAATTTTTGAATTCTATTATCTCTCCAATCGAAAAATTTGTTCAAAATAATATATTTATATATGTTTAGTCATAAATACTAGAAAAAATTTGATTATTCTTCAAGTACATTAAAAGAAAACAAAAGAAAGCAAAGAAAGAAAATTTGATATGCATATATTTAACAAGAAAATATAGTATTATTTGTTTTGGATTTACTCTTCTGTATATATATATATTTAACTAAATTCAAGTTATTTGCGACTTGTCTACTGATTCATCATTATCAAATACAAATAGTGTATTAATAAGATCGATTATCCTAATACATTGTGACAATATACAATTTCGATAGTGTTCATTTTCTTGCTTTTAACAGGGTTATAATGTATTCATCGTTAATAACTTGGCATACTAATACCATTGAATTCGAATTTGATAGATGCTTATATATATAACCTATTACATAACATTTCCGTTGCATACTATCATATAATTGATATAAGAGAATAATATGTAATACTATTCATTGTCACTATCAATTCAGAATGAATACAAAAAGAAACAAATAGAACAATTCTTTTATTTTTTATGACTATCATTGTCTAAGAATATTTTCGTTAAGTGTATATTTGATCTTAACTGTGATATCGACATTCAAGAATCAATTCATTTTTTTTTGTAACTAAAATGTTTTATCGTATCTATCTTATAGTCGTAAGCTTTAAGCAATGTTGATTGATTAATGATCTTTCATATATACAAGATAATCTGTGTGTGTGTGTTTTTTTTTTTGCATGTCCGTTCGCCTTTTTTTTTTCTCTCTTTTCATAAGTGCTCTACCAGTTTACCCATTCAACAACATATATTATTCTACATAGATGAAGCGACAGCGGTTAGCAAAGAAAATATTTGGTGAAAGACGGTCGAACGTCTATGTACAACATTATTGACTTGATACAGATACCTATATAGATGAACATCAAAGAGAAGAACAGACGTATGATGCCAGTGAGCTTATAGCTGTTACCGGCAACTCTACGATGTCAAAATGCTCATACATCGTTGTCTGCCGTTACTAATAAAAAACGCTCAATCTTTTTTTCTTCTCTCTTTCTCTGTCTCGTTCTTTCATCCTTTTACCATATGAGTAACTGAGATATTCGTCGTTATATATTTTTTTTTGTTTTTTCTCTTCCTTTCGTCTTTTTTTTTTTTTTTGCTTTACTACAACCCATCCTATCGAGAAAGCCTTGTCACCATTGTAGAGAACTACAAAGACGTCAAGAACAAGAAATTTGCTATTGATTTTTTTTCTTCTGTTTTTTTTGGTGTGTGTACAAGTGTCCTTTAGATGTTTCGAAGACAAAAAAAGACCTGTCTAGCTTTACATATTCACTCAACCTGTCATTATTAATATTCGTGTGTAATATATGCCGTCCATTATTTATTCGCTGGGATTATTATTATTAATCAATTTTTTTATTGAACCAACAACATGTGAAATACCAACTTTTTTACAGAATCTTGAACTCGATGATATTACATCACTCGTAGATAAATTTCCATCAATTATAAGCAAAATCAAAGAAGCTGGTATGTTATTGAAAAAGTATATTGTATATGAAGGTCATTGATGTTTTTCAAGGCCATTTATACATAAACACGTCAAAAAAAAGGTTGTCTGAATAATATATTAATATAAGTTGTATAATAAGTTTACTTACATTGTCTTGCTTATAAAAAACTTTTGATTTGATTGTGTTTTTTAATTATTTTTGTATGCATTTGAAGTTAATTATTGACATTGACTTTGTGTACATGAAATATATATATATATATATAAAATCATATTACTAATAAACACTTGTCAATGATAAATAGAAAGATAGAGTAAAATGGACAGTTTTCTAGCTATTTCCATATAAATAATTAAATAGAAAACAAGACAAACATTGACAGATATATTGAAGAAAAATATTACTAAAACAATTTTGTTATTACTACGAGACAGATGAGATTGTTTTTCTTATGCTTTTATCTTAATCAGATTTGTCTACAGTCTTTTCGATTTATTCATATATATTATATTAACATAAAGTTTCTTCAAAAAATGAAACTTTATAAATATTATTTCATTAAAAATTTTAGCAAGATCACTAAAATATTATTTTTTTTTATATATAAGACATACACTAACTAAAAAGCCATTTGCTAGTTAAAACCTATAGAGTGAAGAA